AGGGGGGAAAAAAAAAAAAAAAAAAAAAAAAAGGGGGGGGGGGGGGCATGCACGCTTCAAAACCTTCTTCTCCTTCCTCCAGCCAAAGCAGATTTTTTTGAGGACTGTTTTTCAAGGCAGGATGGGAAGGAAACAGAATACAAGATGCATTTGTCCAGGGAGGTGTCTTAGCTCCAAACAAGCTGGGAAAGCCCGAGGTTCTCCCTTCGCTTGGCTCCTTGCTTCAGGGGCCTCTGCAGGCGCCTGCAGGACCAGTGGCAGGTAAGACCAACCCTCCCTGCTCCCGGCCCACCCAGCGAAGGGTCCCTGCGCTCGGACAGCCCCCAGGGACACGACAGCCAGGTGCGGAGACTCAGCGCTGCAGGGCACACATGCAGCGGAGGGAAAGCGTTTAACTCGGGCTGCCTGGTGATCCTCTGTCAGGAGCCACGTCTAAGACACCAGTTAACAACCGTGCTTCCGAAGCGCGGTCTAAGCGTACCACAGCGGTCAACGTTTGAGCTGAGCAGAGGGACAGCCGGGATCGAGCTTCCTCAGCTGCCCCGCTCCTCAGCTGGCTGCATGCACTGCTGACATTTTTTTTTCCTCTGAAGCGCTAAGAACCAGCCTCCAACAGATTTCAGACAACGCGCAAACATGTGATCCGACCCAGCTTTTAACAATGAGATACTCCACCACAGACAATAAAATGCAGGAGAACTGCTACTCCCAAAGATTTGCACCTGCGGAAACACGGGCCCCTTTTTGATGACAGCTCTGCAGCTGCTGTGTTACGGTGGCAACTCCAGCACCGCTACTACAAGATGGAGGGTCTGGATGGCAAACACCCGAGTGAACGGTACCCAGCCACCTCTCCTCTCGCACTTCTTTGGGGGCACCTTTTTGAAAGGACAATGCCACCATCACACCTGCTAGAGAAAGGTCCTCCTCCTTCCTTCACCCTGCCAAGCTGTACATGCAACAAGGAGTTTTCAAGCGCCCGTTTTCTTCCATTCTAATTGACTGTAAATCCTGATGTCACACTGTTCCCGTACTGCACTCAGAGCTGACCACTGCCTTTTACTTAAAGTCTGAAAACCCACATAAGGTGGTCCTGCAGCTGAGACGGAACAATATCCCGTGACCAACTCCCAAAGGCAGCATGAAGCTGCAGGTCAGCAAGATGCAAGAAATGTATTGCCAAAGAACTATAATTCTTTTGTTACATAATAATGTTGCTGTTCGATTACACCAGTCTGAGGCTGTAAACCACTGTTTACTATGACTGCCTAAATCACCTAAAGGCTTTATTTTATTTTTCTTACCGAGTTTGATCAGAATTCCACGAGTCATTTTGTAGTTAAAAGGTACTCAACTCGAAGCCATTTGTCCAAAGAAGTGTCCTAATCAAGATTGATATCCAAGGGGTGAAACTTCCCTGCAGTATTTAAGCAATATACTGAGAGTCTCAGCAGGCCAAAGACTGCCTAGGACTTTCAGAGAGCCTGTCTGGGGCCCAGCACCCACAGGTACG